GTGGGTTAACAAGAGAGTTAACAACATTAACAAGAACCTGAGGCCGCTGGCTGTTACTGGCTACAAGGTCGGGAAAAAATTTAAGTTTTAGCAGATTTAACTGCTCTCTGGTATTTACATAATGCGTCCTGCATCATTTCGAACGAGATATTTAGTTCATCCTTTTTCCACTTTCTCTCAGCTACTCTGCAGGTACGTCTGAGAGAGCGGGTAGAGTCATTTAACCAGGGTTCTTGATCACAGGAATAAATTACAGTTTAACACATTCACATAGAAAACAGCTGGTTTACATTCTAATAATATTTCACAATATTACTGTTTCTACTGTATTTTTAAACAAATAAATGCAGCCTTGGTGAGCAGAAACTTAGTACCGACCCCAAATGATGTAAATTACATGGACTACCATTAAAGCCAACAGAAAATCTGAATTGATTTACTTTAATAATGCACAGCTCCTACAGTGATCGACTAAACAGCATGTTATTACAATGATAAATTTGTCTTTATCATCTTTTATCAATACCTGCTCTGCTTCTGAAAAAACTTTTCAGATGATGTTACGAAATCCATCTTTTTCAAGCCATGCAGCCTCACTCTGGTACAAAACTGACCATCATACTCAAGTAAAAAGCGTTACGAACAACTAACGAGGAGTCAGTTTGTGCACAGGCAGCATTCTGTCATAGCTGACACACAGATGAACAACAGACTCGAGCACAGAAGTGTGTTCATGCTCAATCTGAGAGCACTGATGGCGTCTCTGTGGATGTGATGTGTTGTTCTGTGGTGGGATGAGGAGTGTGTGGAGGCAGCAGGTGAAGTGATCTCAGCTCATCACTGACTCATCCTCACGCGCACACACACACACGCTCTCACACACACGCTCTCAACACACACACACACACACTCACCACACACACACACACACACACTCAACACACACACACACTCAACACACACACACACACACACGCACACACACACTTAGCTGCAACTCACAACTCAACCACAGCATTTATCTATTTATCAGGGCATCTAAGTTAAGGCTTTTTAAGATCTGCACTAATAAAATTCATACTGTTTGTTCATTCAGAACAAACCCATACAATCTGAAATCATGCATCTCAGATTCTTTCAATTTATTAAATGGGCTGTGGCACAAATTCAACAAGGACATATACGGTTTATCAGCAAAACAGGGTAACTTCAAATCTAAAATACACAAGACAGGTTCTATTCAATATGTACTGAAATCGGTGTATGTACCAATATACCACATACAAAATAGCGGTCAAGCGATATTAGATTTTGCTGATACAATAATAAAGCATTTACAAATAGCTTACAGATATTGTGCTGAAACTAGTAACATCCAATGTGTTAAAAAAGGTTTATTGTCTTTCCTTCCTGTGATGGGGTGAAATTAAATGCCAGATACACTTTATTGATCACCAGAAAAGAAAGATTCTATGCATAATGAGGGACTTTTAATTATAAACCACCCCGAAATACTATTATTTTGAAATGGATCTGCTTCACTACTTCAAACAGATATGAGGGAGATCAAATATGCATCTCACATCACTATAAAGTATGTGCATAAATGTGCGGTATTCACTGATTGAGAACTGATCTGAAACTGAGAGCCTGTAAAACAACAGCACCATGTTTGTAC